TGGTTAAACCTGGCCCATAGAGATCTGGCAAAGCTCCTGCGTCCAGGATGTCGGGCTGCTGGGAAGATCATGTCCAGTCTGCATGCCCACGTTCTTCTTTCTCCTTTTCGTCCCACCTGGGAGGCGTCAGTGCTGAAGTGTCCCAGAATGCACAGCTAGCTCTGCGGGGCTGGTCCTCCTCCCGCCGCGGTCAGGCCTGCGTCGATCCGCCTCCCTCCAAAAACCGGGAGTCCCCGGCCGCTGGAGAGCTGGGCTTGAGGTGGAGGAGCGGGCAGGTGTTTTGTGTTGGCGGCCCAGTATTAGCGGGTGACGTTTTGCTGTCCCGCGCAGGGCAGCCAGATGTCCAAGTACGGCAACGGGACGGTGCGCGGCTTCTCGACCCGCTCGGCGGTGGAGATGGGGCCGCGCCAGAAGATCAGCCTGGGCGCCGGGGGCGGCAGCGTGTACCAGCAGGGCGGCGCCGACGTGCGGGCCGGTTACCAGACCCGGCAGACCGCCTCCCGCACCGTGAGCCGCGGCGGCGGCGGAGGGGACCCCGAGGTCATATCCCTGAGCTCGCTGCGCTTCCGGAGCCTGCCGGCCCAGAGCGCCGTCTCCCACTGGATGCGGGAAGACAGCGACGGCAGCCTGGCGTCGGAGCGGGACGCCACGGTCAACCGGCACTCCACCTACAGCGCCTTCGAGGGCTACAGCGCCGCGGGCCAGGCCAGGCAGGCACCCCTCGTGCCCTCCTCCTCCATGCGGCGTTCCCTGAGCGGGACCCTGTACCGCCAGGCGGGGGGCGGGGCCGAGGGCGGGGCCATGGGCGTGGCCGCCGACGAGGGCCCCGCCCACACCTACAAGGGGCCGGCCCACCGCACCATCAGCCGCGTGCACAACCGCAACCGCATGAGCGTCAGCTCCGTGTCGCAGCAGCAGCAGCAGGTGGCCGCCGGGGGCTACGGCATCATGGGCCAGGGCATGAGCGGCTCCCAGGCGGCCATGCTGGCGCAGCAGGGCACCCTGAACAGGGCCATGTCCGTGAAGAGCCTGCACAGCGTGGGGAAGGGGGTGGACCTCTACGACGGCCAGTTTGACTTCATGAACTCCAACGGCGGGTGAGTTACGCGGGGTTGCGGCCCCTTCTCTTCTTCCTCCTGGCTCGCAGAAGCCGCAGAGCTGTGCTGGGTGGGGGGGGCAGGCTGGTAGGTCTCGCGTGGTGATCTGGTGACCACAGGTTAACCGACAAACATCTGTGCTTGAGAAGAGCCCCCGTCCACTGAACAAAACTCAGCCGACGGCTCGCTGGGCAGACCCAGCGGGTACTCTCAAAGCCGGGGTCAGCTGCTGCTTTGGGAAGGAGTTGAATATTGTTACTTAAGTAATTCTCCCATTCCTCCCTCTGGTCCTCTGTGTGCAGCAGTCCTCTCCAGAATTATTGAAGGTCACGTCCTGATCTTGCTGGGTTTAGGGAGGAGAGTGGGGAAAGTTTGGCTCAGGCTGTCCCGGAGCTGCAGAACCGGTCTGGGTGTGGCAGAGGGTGGGATGGTCTGACGGGGCCCTGTTTGATGTAAAGGAAGACAGCCGCCTCATGAATAATTAACCCCTGCGGCTACGCCCGTGCAGCTGAGCAGGTGGCTGTGGCTTGAGTGAGTCTCGAGAGGCCCCAGCGTTGCCGAGCGAGGCTCTTCTGTCCCGTCGCACGCGTGGCTTGGCCAGAGTCCTGTCCTGTGTCCCCTGAACCTCGTGTACAGACGGCTCGGTGTCACTTCAAATGCTTTCCAGCATTGCAGCAGTTTCGATAAGGGGAGGGTTGGTTTGAGATCAGAGGCGTTATAACCTGCAATCGCAGTCATTCGCCCGGAGCATCGGCTTGGAGGAACTTTAGTTTTACACATGTTCACACACGTGGAAATAAATACAGAGCCGAAAAGAAAGGACAACCCCTTAAAATTCTGTTTTTACAGATTAAGACCTATCTGACCTTCATCTAGTCCTCAGAAATTCCTAACAGTAGCTAGGTGTGACCGATAACACCCGTTTTACTTTATCAAACCAAAAGAAAAAGTCAGCCAGCATTCAGAAGCCCTGTGTGGGGGAAAAAATAAGGGCTGTATCAGTGAAGAAGGTAATTTGAACCAGGTGAGCTAAACAAGTGCTGTAGAAATGCGTGTGCCCTGTGTCTGTAGTTTTCCATCTGTGTGCCTGAGCCTCTCTCTCACTCTCTGCCCTCTGACCTCCACAGGCTCAACAACCTGACCATGTCCACCGCGGTCAGCTACCTGTCCATGCTGGACCCAGAGATGCAGTTGCTGGGGGCAGCCTACATCCAGCACGAGTGCTACCACAACAGCGACGCCAAGACCCAGGTAGGAGCCCTCTGCCCCTCTACCTCCTGCCATTCCCTGAGGATCGGCTCTCCCAGTAGCTCGTCTCC